AAGTTTCAGCGAATAACTTGGGATAGCAAGTTCACTTTTTATGTCTTGGGAGTGCTAGAGCAGCCCCTCCCAATCCTTGGCTTGTGTGTGTATTTTTCTCGTCATCTTGAAATATTTTCCAGTGTGAAAACAAAACAAAGTAAGACATCAGTCTGTGTCATGTTATGTTAACCCTTTCATGTAAGAGTAGAAAAACCCATAAACCTACATATAAACTTCAGACTGACCCATCATTTGAAGGCAAAACTCTGGCAGTGTTGTAGCAAGCTTAATTGCTTCCATTCAGATTGCCAGGAAATTGATTTGGAAAAAGAAAGAAATTTTTTGAGGCATTCCCAAATAGTTTGCAGCATGGAATGAATAACAACAAAACGAAGGTACCACCAATCTTGGCTGGCAGTAGAATCGCCAGCATAAACTTCCGGAGGCATAGCTCCTTTGGATTCTCCACTGCTCAATGACTTCTGAAGGTACCCGATGACCACAGAATAAAGGCCAATCCGTTTGTTGGTGTCCAGGGTTTTCTACCGTGAGTCCCTGTCTAGCTCCTATCCTCACTATTTCCCCTCTTCCTTGGGCATCCTATGCTGCTGCCTCAGGGCACTAAATGCTGTGTCCCTGCCATACTTGGAATCTTCTAGGCCTTTGCTCTTGCTCTTGCCTCTACCCAATTGCCTTTACTTCTATCTTTGTTTCTGAAGCCCAGCTTAAATTCCAGTTCCTCCTCCACAGAAGCTTTCAAATCTCCCCTTCAACCTTAGTGGTATGATAACTCTGTTCTCCATATTCCTGTGTCAGTTTCTTTGTCTTCCATTGTGGTCATATTTCATTAAAGATTAGTTGTGACCAGGTATGGTGGTGCACACCTGTAATCCCCCCAGCTGCTCCAGAAGCTGAAGTGGGAGGATTACAAATTCAAAGCCAACCTGGGCAACGTAGCAAGACCACTTCTCAAAAATACATATGTGTGCATATGCATACATATATTAGTTGTATATCTGCTTAAGTATCTTGTAAGGTATAAAAACAAGGTCCGGCTGGGCACAATGGCCCACACCTGTAATTCCAGATACTTAGTAGCCTGAGACAGGAGGATCCCAAGTTTGACGCCAGCCTAGGCAACTTAGCAAGACTCTGTCTCAAAATTTTAAAAAATTATAAAAGAGACTGGGAATGTAGCTCAGAGGTAGAGCACCTCTGGGTTCAATCCCTAGTACCATTAAAAAAAAGAAGAAGAAAGAAAGATACCACTTTCAAAAAAATACTAAAAACAAGGTCCATGGCTTATGTGCTTTTTAAGGTTTTGCCATACACAGATCAGTAATTCAAACTACTGTATTTAATTGACATCTTATGACATCCTAAAACATTGTAAAGATAGACATTGTTACACAATCCTCAAATGCTTATGTTCTTTGCTCAAAGGGGATTTCCTGGATACTGAGATTCCTAAGGCTGTCACAGCACCAAGCATCTGGACTCATGAGGCCACTTTCAGATGCTTCCAAACTTCCAGCTGTTTGGCATCGCCAAGCACAGTAACCAGGTGAACTAGGGAAGTGTTTGCGTTTTTTCATAGAATCATAAGATGTTTCTAGCTGGACAGGACCTTGGGGAGCTAAACTCCTTGCAGAATAGAGGAGAGAATTTTGAACCTGAACTCCTAAGTGACTTTTACCAGGTTCACGGTTGTTTGGAGCCCCAGCCTACCAGATCTCTATGTCCCACCTCTAGTGAGCCTTCCTAGTGGTGGCTTCAGGTGCCACTTCAGTTATTAGCTCCACTCTTGCTTTTCCACCTGTCATCACATGACAGGCTGTTAACTGACTCTTTGCTAAAGACTGATATCGTTGGGTTAAAAATGAAAACCAAAGGGGACCAAGATTTAAGCTCAGGGGAGCTGGGAGCAAAGCTAATAATTCCTTAGCTGTTGCCTCGCTGAGGACTCAGCAGCTGCTGAATTCAGTCAAGTTCAGACCCTTAAAAAGAGTGGAAAAAAGAAACCACATACTTTCCAGTGCCTGGGCACCGCATAGCGGGGCCAGCTGGGCGCAGTGCCTTGGCAGAAAGATTCTTCTGTTTCAGAAATCCGAGCCCCCGACCTTGCAAACAGGGAGGGGCGCACGGCTGCCCTGTGCCTGGTGGGGGGACTCCTGCCCAGTTATACCAGACACTGTTCCTATGCGAAGTCCATGAGGATCTCCAGCAAGAGTCGGTCTCCCTGTTGACACAAGAGCTTGCTATCTCAGGAGAGATGTGTGAACGTGGCTGGGACGCCATGTGTCTGAGGTTGACAGTCTTTTTCAGAGGAACTCTTGGTTTCTATATAAACGTGTGCGTTCTCCTGCCCAGAGTCAGCCTGTTAAGGGAATAAAGTGCAATTCAGGTTTCCGAGTTGGAAGCCTGATTAATCTCTCTGCCAGTTACATATGGAAATAAATTAGTAAGTGGTCCATCTGGGATTAAACTACTGCAGAGAAGATAAATTATTGCCATTGTATACATCCGTGTTGTTGAAGACTGAGTTGTGTTCATCAGGAGCTGCTGAATGATAACTGGATGGAGGTTCTATTGTGGTCACTGGATAAAAAAAAAATGTTTTTTCAATGTTGGGGATCAAATCTATGTATAGCCTTGTACATGCTAAGTATACCACTACCACTGAGATGCATCCCTTGCCCAAGAATAAAATCTAAAGAAAAAAAAATTACAAGCAAAAATTCACCTTAAAATGTTTCTTGGGAAAATGGATTGGTCATGCCAATTTTCTTCCTCAAAACTGTTATATCTGCAAACATTTTAAAGGAGAGTCCCAAGGGCATAAGGAACATTTTAGTTTTATATTTTCAAAGGCCAATACAATAACAAGTGTTAATTAGTACCCAGTGTTTCATTGAGGAGGGCAATTCTATATGACTGTGTAGGAGTGCATGTTATAATTTGCATAGAAACGTTATATCTATTTTCTTATTTAAATTAAAGAGGGCAGGGCAGGTCAATGCCTTTCTTTCTCAATAGATGAAAAACTAAGGTGTACGGGTTTAGTGCCTTGCCCATAATGCCTCAGCTGGTGAAACGGCAGAGCTGGGGTAAGCAAGCAGATATTGCCGCTTCTGTACCAGCTTCGTTTCAAAGGCTTGGTGTGACATCTAAAACATTATCAGAGTCCCATCCATCATCTTACCAACATCAGGAAATAAGGCATCTATGTATATTAATTGTCTAGAAGCAAAAGCCCTAACTTCTTGATCATGAAAAGCATCTTTTCTCCAACTGAAGATGTCCCTAGTTAGTTCAACTTTTTGGAGGGGACTCAGACCCACCGCTGTCAACTGAAGTTATTTTATAAACTTAAAACTGAGATGGCCTCAGGGGTTTTTTTATGTGTGGTAACATTTTGCCCCTTTGCAGAATAGCCTAGGGCTACTGTGACATCCACATTCTTGTGCCTACTTCAAACTTTTCTTTTGTGTTCTTCCTCCTGGGCAGACCTTCAGCCCTGTGAGTCTTGAAGCAGTTGAGAATCTCCATTCTGGAAAACACAGTGTGAAAGTGCACTGGATATAGAAATCCTTAAGTCACCTAGTATACCAGACAGGAGTTTTTCTAAAGATAAGCATCAGTGCAGTCTGGTGGTCTTACACAAGAAAGAAGCTACAGGTCCAGCTTTGACCCCCCTGTGTTTGGAAGTAAACTCATCTCTCTCAGATCACCTTCAGATTTCTCACTTATCAGCCAGACCTGGTTACTCCACATCCCAGGGACTCTCATGCTTCAGCTGTTGCCTGTTCCCACCTGTCCCTATCTGTCCCAGTTTTAAGACCCATTATTACAGTCATAGTCTTCATGACATTTTCCCTTTTACCATAAACTTCCACCCCAACCAGAGACAAATGTGCCTTTGAAACCCTCTAACCAGTAGAAGAAACCATGTTGTGATACTTGAACGTCTTGCAGGGACTTCATCTCCTTCATCTCTGACTCTTCCTCCTTCCCAGTTCCTTGCTCAATATTTCATTTTTAATTGGCACATAAACATGAAATAGAATAGGGTAATTTTACTTTTCAACAACGGGTTAATACATTTGAAGGAGTGGATCACTGAATGTCCTGGAAGCATATTAGAATCACGTGCAAAAAAACAGATTTCTGGGCTTCATGACCAGATTTTCTCATTCGGTGAAACCTGGGTTGAGGCTTAAAATTTGCAGGTCCAGCAAGCTCTTGAGTGATGTCAATGCTGCTTCTTCAGGGATCACAGTTTGAGAATCACTGATCCAATGAATATGTTATTCCTAACATTCTCTTACTCATGATCGTAGGATAATACCATTCTTTTCATTGGAGAGTTTATTGATTTATCATCCTTGAAGCCTGGACCAAAAAAAAAAAAAAAAAACAACCTTCCATCAGAAATTATTACACAATCTTTCTCTTGTACCAATTTTCTTATTTTGCAATGTATCAGTTAACTGTGGCTCAATCACTGCCACCCATTCATTGAGCTCATCTCCGGGACTATAGCCAGAGTAATTGCATTTTACAACAGAGTTGAGGGTCGTTGACTTTGTACCTGTGTACATGGTTTACCAAGTAGACAGAGGCTGGGGTGGAGCATTGGTCTCCAATGCTTGTTGGAGCGTTGATGTCTTCCTTTGGATGGACATGTGTTTCAGAAGCAGCTGTAGTGAAGGAAAATGATCTCACAGATGTCTCACTGGCAGTCATACCGAAATCAAATGATCTTACAATGTCTATGGCATGTATTTTCAAATTTCTGGGTCCTCTTATGCTCTATGAGGCAGTTTCAAAAACACTCCATCCTGAAAGCTTCAGTGCTTCAATAACTATCCAAGAAATAAAGAGGTTCTGTGGCAATTGACTTTTTCACTGAAGTGTGTCATTTTCCAGGGTCGGGCCACAGAGGACATCCATTGTGGTTGTGAGGGCTCTCTGCTCCTCTCCTCTAATTCTGTCTTCCTTTTCTTCCTCTCCACCAGCCTCTAGAAGCATCCTGTCATGATGATGGAGGCCCCTTCATCCTTTCTGTGACGGGAGCTGGAGCGATGCTGACCTCGGTTTCCTGGACCCATTCGGACTCAGGTAATCACACTCTGCTTCCCTTCCCCGTTTCCGCACCTTACATGGGTTGACATCGAACAAACGAAACTCCAAAGCTATATCTAAATGCAAATGCAAAATTGATTGTTTCTCCCTTCATTGGTATCTTCCCCTCCTCCCCTCAATCTTCTTAATGATCAGTTCATGCAGCTGATCAGACTGACAATGTGGTCAATCCAATTTAGGCATTAAGATGATTGAAAACATTGAATCACATCTTTACTTAAAATTCTGGTGTGTTTGTAGATGCACAAAGCAACTGAAACATCACTGGGAATTTTCATGTAGAAACTACTGTAGTGCCTCTAAATTATCTTCTTTCCCAGAATACTATGTTTAATTGTAGCAATCTTTCTAATGATTTGTACCTTTTAGTTGCATTCAATAAGTATTATTGAATATCTGTTGTGTGTTCTTGGGACAGATGAGGATAAAAAAAAATAAAAGTACAGAGCTTGGGATATAGCTCAGTTGGTAGAGTGATTGCCTCATGTGCACAAGCCCTGGGTTCAATCCCCAGCACAAAAAAAAAAAAAAAAAAAAAAAAAGTACAAGGCTGGTTCCTATCCTCAAGCAGCTCACAGTCTTACAGAAGACTCTCAACTTGATCATGAGAAAATGGCACTTGGTGGGGCTTAACTTAGGGCAGCGCTGTGCACTAACTATCACCCACTGCTCCAGGGAATTGAGAGACTTCCAGGATTAGGGTTGAAATAATTAGGGAAGAAGTCATGGACCTCAGTAGCTTTGTGGCTATTCATTTGGCCAGGCAGCTGGAGGAGGATGACATGGCACTTTGATGGGAGGACACCCTGTGGGCCTTGGTAGTGTCCCTGATCCTCTGCCTCAGCCAGAGCCAGACTCCCCTTTCAGGTCTGGGTTCCATAAGGATCCTGGAGTAGAGCCATTGGGGAGACCCACCTGGAGGGGACTTGGCTGACAGTGTCTTTCAAGGGACAGTGGCCACTATGGCGTAGCTCTGGCTTGGCTTCTGCCTTGCTGGTCTTCTCTGCTCCTCTGAACCTGCCTACACCCTGCCCCTGCTTATCCACCTGATTATTTGCTCTTCTCATACACACCTGACTCCCTTCCTCCGGGTGCTGTGTGGCATGCCTGGCTTGGCAGGTCCCCGGGATGAACCACAGGCTGAGTGAGATCAGCACCTGGCTCTCACCTGTGTGATTCTGAGCGTGGAAGTGGAGTTAGAGAGTAGACAGCATAAGCCAAGAACATGAGTTTGTACCTTGGGATGCAGAGTGTCTCTTGAAAGCTCTGAAATCCCAAAGTCAAGGAGGGTATCAAGGCCAAAGCTGGAACACAGTTTTATATGGGGAACAAGATGCATTGGTTATGTTGGGGATGGAGCAGTAAATCCTGCCCACAACTGGCTCTTTTCCAGTGTTGCTTTTTGTCCATCTAGGTAAGGCAGTAGTGGCTTCTGCTGACCTGGGTTTTAAAGCTGCTACTGAGAGTGGTCAGCCAACATTCCTTCTCTTCCTGTCACACTGTACTCTGACCACACTGCACCTTCCTGAGCATGCCCAAGAGCCCAAGCCCTCACTGCCTGGGGGGTGTGGCCTCCTGGAACCGCATCCCTGGTCAGCAGCCAGCAGGCAGTGGAAGAACTAGAATAACAACAGTATTTGTGCCCTCCTCCCCCTGAACTGATTGCCCCGAGTCTTGCCACATCCCTTCTAAACCTGGGCTAGGGGTCAGTAAACTACATTCAGTCCCTGGGCCAAGGACAGCCCATGGCCTCTTGGTGCATGGCTGATAACTAAGAAGGGTTTTTGCATTTCTAAACAGTTGGAAAAAAAAATTGAAAAGAAAACTAAAATTTTGTACCTCATAAGAATTCTATGGAATTCAAATTGCAGCATCTAAAGTTTATTGGAATACAGCTATGGTCATCCATTTCTGGATAATCAATGGCTGATTTTGTATTACAATGACGGAATCGAATAGTTACAACAGAAACCATAAACTATCAGGCCTTTTACATAGGAAGTTTGCTAACCTCTGGCCTGAGTAATTGTGTGCCATAAGCATTTGCAAAATTAGAGGTTGGGGACTTGTCTCCCATTAAGAGAACAGAATTGAACTAGGTATGGGGGCACACGTCTATAATCCCAGAGAATCTCACATCTATAATCCTGTGAATCTCAGACCCAAGGATCAAAAGTTTGAGGCCAGCCTTGGCAACTTAAAGAGACCCTGACTTAAAATAAAAAACAAAAAGATCCTGGGGACATAGCTCAGTGGTTCAATCCCCAGTACCACAAAGAAAATAAAGGGGTGGGGGGGGGAATGAAAAAAGGATTGAAGAATGAGGGGGATTAAAATAGGAAAGAGAGAAAGGGAGGGACTTTTAGAGTGATATTGGATATTGATCACACTCCAGTTGCATTTTTCCACTTATCTCTTAAACTTTCAATTAAATTTAATCTATCATGGAGGCCACCTCATCTTAGGAACTCACATACACTGTCCGTCATATCTTTAAATGAGGCATCCAGGCTTCTTGGATTAACCTAGCAAGTGAGCTCCAAATGAAAACAGATCATATACATTAGGCATTTTACTTTTTTTTTAGGCATTGGATGTGAGCTATTTCATTTTAAACCAAATAAATATTTGGTTTTAAATCAAGTAATCATTGAAGGTTTACCATGAACAAGCTATGACATTTGAACTTGGCAACATTTTAACATTTTTTTTTCCCACCCACTAGAATTTTATGATACTGCTGAATGAAAACTATGTTAAAAGTTGGAGAAAGGAGTTCTAATCTTACTAACTGGCTGAGACAGGAAAGTTCCCAGGATCTTAGGACAGAAAGTATCTCCTAAATCTCAGGGGTTTCATACAACAAAATAGAAGCATGTTTTATTTTCTCTAGAATTAAGGAAGTAATGAAAAACTACTTTTTGAATATACAGAACTGAATTCATATACGCAAGTTCAAATCTGGCCAGGTTGACCTCAGCTTGCTGGGGAAGATATTGTCTGGAAAATCAACGTAAGTACCCAAGAGTTCTGGGTGCTTAACCACTGAACCACATCCCCAGGCATTTTTATATTTTATTTTGAGTAAGAGCCTTGCTGAATTGCTGAGGCTTGCTTTGAACTTGTCGTCCTCCTGCCTCAGCCTCCACAGCTGCTGGGATTACAGGCATGAGCCACCATGCCTGGCTGAGAGTTCTGATTTTGATAAGACTTTCTCATTTGCCTTGCCTCAGACCTGGGAAATCTCGATGCTGTCTATCATCAGAGCATTTATGATACTACAAGCAGCTTAAAGCAAGTTTCTCAAACATTAATGATCAAACAAAATCACATGAGGAATCTTGTTAAAATGCAGATTCTGATAGGAGGTCTGGATTGGTAATTGAGATTTTGCATTTCTGACAAGGTCCCAGGTAAGGCATTGGCCAGGTACGATGACATACACATTGCTGGTTCCAGACAACATGTAGCAAGGGCTTAAGCTGCAGTGGTTCTCAAATGTGGTAACTGGATCAGCAGCATCACCATGGAAACTATAGTACAAGTTAGGGATGTGAGTTCTAATTGCATTAACTGGCTGATCCAGGGAAGGCTATGGGATACAAGGTGAAAAGTACATCCCAAACCTCAGGGGATTAGCACAATCAATGAGTGGGCCACTTTCCCACTCATTCTGGGTTGGGTTGTGTCACTGGTTCCCTTGCTCCAGTGTTTGGGGGCTGTAAGCCCCTTGCATCTTATGATAGCTATGTTTCTGAACGTGACTTCCTGGCTACTGCAACACGTGGGGGAAAAAAAAAGAGTCAAGAATTCACACCCATTCTTAAATGCTTTGGACCAAAATGGACTCAAGGGCTCTTCTACACCACAGCTCATTGACCCAGGCTGACTTTCTCTTTCTGTCCATTCCCATCACTCCCTACCCTGGCATGGACAAGGGCAGCTTGTTTTAAAACTGGGCACTGCATTTTACACGGAGAACAGATTTTAGTTGAAGTCTAGGATGGAGTAAAACCCTAGTCACTGAAGACCTGTCACGTGTTGAGCTATTAATCCAGACAGATGCTGTCCCCACATTAACAAGCAGGAGAGATTGAGTCCAAGGGGTTTATTTACAACTCTTTATTTAAAAGAGAAAAGAAGGGGGCTGGGTTGTGTCTCAGTGGTAGAGTGCTTGCCTGGCATGTGTAAGACTCTGGGTTTGATCCCTAGCACCACAAAAAACTAAATAAACAAAATAAACGTATTGTGTCCATCTACAACTAAAAATATTTTTAAAAGAGAGAGAGAGAGAGACATGGAAAGAAAGAAAAATACCAACCACAACCAGAGAGCAAGGTGCCTGTAAAATAATATTAAACAAAAAAGCTGTCTACTCGCAAGGCTATGTATTGTAATTTCCCTGGTTTCCAGCCCTTCTAATCAGTGTTCACAACTGAACCCATGGAATCAAAGGGAACAGTGGCTGGAAAATGAGCCAAACATAGTTATCTATTGCATTGCTTGCTTCAGGAAACAACCGCCACCCCCCCGAAAATTATACTTGTGGTTTCTAAATGTACAAAGAAAACGAAAGGAATTCCATTATGAAAGAAAGATTAGATGGAAATTTCTAATCCTGTCTCATAAACAATATAGGAATAACTTTAAAATATTCTGCTTTAAGCATGCATTTAATTTGTGCTCTGGGAACCAAATAATGTTGCCAAGATAAAACATTCTAATAATGATTTATGTAAATTTATTTGTACAAAGTAATGGTGTAGTTGCCTATAGCAAATTGCTTGGAATATGAAATGACATTTATGAGGTCTTCTTTTTTTTTTTCCCCTCCTCTGAATGAATACAATGGAGTTAATGAGATACACAGGAAAAAAAAATGTTCAAACTGGAGTCTGATGCAGAGATAGCTGGACAGGTTACAGAGTGTGAGCAGTCAACAGACCCATTTCAATATGGTTTCCTTTGAGGTTCTC